ACCTCCTCCCTCACTCCCATCCCAGGCCCCAAGAAGACTTTCCACATTAAGCACATGTTCACCTGCACATCTACTACTGTGGTATACTGCATCCGCTGTTCCCGTTGTGGCCTCCTCTACATCGGGGAAACCAAGCGGAGGCTTGGGGACCGTTTTGCAGAACACCTACGCTCGGTTTGCAATAAACAACTGCACCTCCCAGTCGTGAACCATTTCAACTCCCCCTCCCATTCCGCAGACGACATGTCCATCCTGAGCCTCCCGCAGTGCCACAAGTGCCTGAAGGTTGCAGGAACAGCAACTCATATTCCGCTTGGGAACCCTACAGCCCAATGGTATCATTGTGGACTTCACAAGCTTCAAAATCTCCCCTTCCCCTACCGCATCCCAAAACCAGCCCAGCTCGTCCCTGCCTCCCTAACCTGTCCTTCCTCCCACCTATCCCCTCCTCCCACCTCAAGGTCCACCCCCATTTCCTACCTACCAACCTCATCCCGCCCCCTTGACCTGTCCGTCCTCCCTGGACTGACCTATCTCCTCCCTACCTCCCCACCTACACTCACCTTTACTGGCTCCATCCCTGCCTCTTTGACCTGTCTGTTTCCTCTCCACCTATCTTCTCCTCTATCCATCTTCTATCCGCCTCCCCCTCTCTCCCTATTTATTTCAGAACCCCCTTCCCTTCCCCCATTTCTGAAGAAGGGTCTAGGCCCAAAACGTCAGCCTTCCTGCTCCTGTGATGCTGCTTGGCCTGCTGTGTTCATCCAGCTCTATACCTTGTTATCTCAGATTCTCCAGCATCTGCAGTTCCTACTATTACTGAGTTTGAACGTTTGTTAATGTTTTGCATCAAGACACTTCAAGAGTATGAATATAAAGAAAGGTACTTTTAAAAAAAAAAAACTGGAGTGCACATTAGTAAAATAACCATGTCAAATGGCATTTGAAATCATTCTTGTGAAAGCTCCTGCTCAATTCCCAAGATTGAAACGAGAAATGGTTGTGTGGACAAAAGAATGCTTCGCCATCTAGTGGTCGCAGTTATTGCCATACAACAGCTCACCGGAGCCAGCAGGAATATCCTGTTTCAAACTAGTAACCTGCCAGAGACTATTTGCCCCCAGCCGCTGCTACAACCCAGTTTTCTTTGGTCACTCGTGTTGCAACATTGTTAAAGACTCCCCCAAACTCTGACAAAGAATCTTTGGGTGGGCAATACAGATTTACTGCAGGTAATTGTCAATATTAACAATTTCTTAAATTTAAAAGTTCTTTAATTTGTAAAATTAATCACTGATCAATTGAACAAATGTCCCAAACAACAGAATCTGAAAATTGCATGTTGATGAAAATTGGAAGGCCTGGAAATGAGGAGTGGAATCCTGGAATCAGGACGTGCTTGCTATTTTAAAGTGTTCTCCATGTCATCCTGACTTGGTGAGAATCCAAGCCAATATTCTGAAACAAATTTAATTGTCTTTTATTAGGATATGGGTTAATAAGAGACAGCAAAGATGTTGTGACAGGCAAATCATGTCTGACTAACATTCCATGGTGGAAAGTTGTTAATAAACCCTGGGGCCAGTATTTGTTGACATTTAGAAAGTCCTGAATTAATCGAAGATCATCAACATGTTTGTTCAGGGACGGTTGTTGAATTTTATAAAGGGGAGACAAAGAGGTTGATGGGGATAACATGTTGATGTAGTCTTGATGGATTTTAGCAATTATTCTGACATGGTACATGGCAGACTGGTCAGAAAGCTGAGTGTGCTTTAGAGCTCCAAAGTTCATGTGGCAAGTTGGATTCAAAATTGACTTGGTGGCAAGATGAATAGTCAATGTGAATTTGTAACTTTGCTATTCAGAATAGGGTTCCACTGGAGCGGAGTGCTAGGTCCATTGATTTTTGTCCTTTGAATCCATGATTTAGACTTAAATATGAGGAGCATGATTAAAGTATTAGCAGATGATACAAAAATTGACAATGATATTTACAGTGAGGAAGAAAGCTATAGACTGCAGGAAGATATCAATGGACTAGTCAGAGAGATCCAGGACGTGCAGTGTAATACATCTGAGGGTGAAAATCAAGGCAAACAAACAGTCAATAAATAGTAGAATCCTGCAAGTGTGAAAAAACAGAGGGACCTTTGGAGTGCATGTCCATGTATCCCTGAAATTAGCAGGACAGGTAGATCAGGTGGTTAAGAAGTACAGGATTTATTGATCGATTTATTGATAAAATATAAGCAGGGAAGCTTAAGCTAGATTTGTATAAATCACTTGTCATGATCGAGAGTCATGATGTTAATTTTGGAAACTGTTCTAAAAGTTATATTGTTAAACAGTGGACTGAGTCTCAAGATTGAGTCCATTTTAGAAACCAACAATCATTCAACTTTCTCTTTGTGGATTTAGACTGGAAACACCTCCAAAGAGACGAAAGGAAGACATTCTCAGACGTATTCAAAACAGAAAGAAAATTGAAGTTTGATCATTTGTACCAGTGCAAATACAATCCAAAGCAAAGACAGAAATTCTGAAGAAGGGTCACTGGACCCGAAACAATAAGATCCATTGACTGGATGGCATTCCTTCAATCAAAGACCTTGATTGATAAGGAGCTTGAGGTGTGAAAACCATGGCCCTCCATGAATACTTCAGGCGGTTAAAAAGAGTTTGGGATATTATGTGGGCAACTTGTTACAAATCACATGAAAAGAGTAACCATCTTTGCTTGCCTGCCCAGAACAATATGAAAGGCAGGGAAAGCTGCCTGGAACCAAAAATACCACGAGAGGAGTTGAGGAGAAATTTTTAACTGGGGTGGAAGGGTGGTAGGGGCACATATCCTTCTCACATTTAAAAGATGTTTGCAAGTGCACTTGAAATACTTTAACCCACAGGCTAAGCTAGAAAGTGGGGTCATGGTGTGCAACTCTTTTTCAAGTATTACAGACACAAAGCATGAATGGATACCTTTTGAGTCTCAACTGTTCTGCTTTTCTAATTTTCTGTTTTTCAAAGTTTTTTTTTCACATACATCCTCAGACCTTTCCTTTCTTGACCCCCTATAAAATTGTCATTTAGTTTGTACATTATATCCCTTCCTCATTTGTCCCCCCAAAGTATATCACTATACACGCTTGTGTTACAATATACACCTGTGTTAAATTTCAGTTGCCTTTTGCCTTAATGTTTGACCAGTGTCTTTCCTGTCCTTCACACCTTTAACTACACTTCCAAGTTTTAGGTCACCCGCAGCTTTTGAAACAATGCCTTATACAGCCATTTCTAGGTCATTAGCATTCAGAAAGAAGGGGCTTGGTTCTGCCACTGGGAGTTAACCTTCTTGCAGCCGAGCCTGCCTTAGATCTTATATTAAACTCTAATGTCATCTCAAAGGAAACCAGAGACAGCCAAATCAAGTGAAATTTCCCTCCAATGTTCACTGCTCTCTGTTCCTTAGCCAGTCTCAAATCCACCAATTTTAATTCTGCAGCAAGCCTCTTATGAGGTACTTCATTAAGTGCGTTTTTGATGCACAACCTCAACACCTTTCTCAATTCTCCCTGTTATCTCATCAATAAATTGGCCATGCACAACCTTCCTTTCACAAATCTCAGCTGACTTTTCTTTATTAGACTCAAATGCCAAATAATTTTTGGCTTTGATCATTGTTTTTAAATGTTTTCGTAGCACCAGCATTAACTTGTTTGTCTGTATGCATTTTCCATTTTTAAATATTAGTGAGCATTTGCGATCCTCTAGCCTGCTATCTGTAGGACAACATGGTGGATCAGTGGTTGGCACTGCTGCCTCACAGCAACAGAGACCTGGGTTTGATTCCACCTTTGGGTGACTATCTGTGTGGAGTTTGCACATCCTCCCCATGTCTGCATGGGTTTTCCATTTTCCTCCCACAGTCCAAAGTTGTGCAGGCTGGTAGATTGGCGCGGGGAAATTCAGGGCTACAGAGATAGGGAAGCAGGGTGGGTCTGGGTGAGATGATCTTCAGAGGGTCAGTAGTTGATGGGCTTGATGGGCTGAATAGCCTGCTTCCACACTGTAGGGATTTTATGATTCTATCTTCAGCTCATATCCAGCAAGGATTGGAAAAGTTATGACCAGACTCTCAACAATTTAAAAGCTTAATCTTATCAATAATATCCAATGCATCAAACTGTCCAGACTGGGTGACTTTTAAATGCAGTAAAACTTTTAAATAACACTTTATTGTTATCCTCTCCATATCACTGCTGCCTCTTTCTTTACCAGCACATTGGCAGCAACTATTTCTCACATCAGAACAAAACAAAAATCTCAGTTAGGACATCAGCCTCCATGTTTAAGTTACACATGACTACACTTTTATCATTAGTTATCATGTATTACTTATATGTTTGAAAAACATTTTTGGATTTCCCTTTATGTTAGCTGCTAATCTATTTTCATACAGTCTCTTCATCTCTCTTATTCCCTTTTTTGTTGACTCCACAGTATTTTCTATATTCAGCTTAGCTCTCTATTGTATGATTAACCTTACATGAGCCTTACATAAATGTCCCTCCAATCATTTTCAGCAAACTAACCAGACAGAGTGGCACAGATTTCCCGATTCCGCTCATATCGGGATTGACAGATAACGAGACGGAGAAAATAATCCGGGAGAAGGATGAAGAGGTAAGAAATGTGCATGTTGAATTAACCTTTTTTGTGTGTGGGTGCCTTAAGATCTGTAGGACTAGGAGAATTAAAATTATAATTAGTGTGCTGAAGATTACAGGGTCTAAATCATCATTATTAATGAGGTAAATGCACACATTAACTTAACACTAACTCATTACAGTTCTCCAGTAGAAGTATGCATCTCCTACTATGACAGTAAGATAGTTAATGAGCAACTTACTCAAAGACAGAATTGCAGACACAATTAGGACAGCACTTTATTATGTTTGATGAACATCACTGTGATTACAAGTTGAGGGCAATTTAGATTCCCAAGGCTATTGCTACTTTTCACTGGGACACCAATGAAACAAAAACCAGCACGATCTAAGGGCTTATCTGTAAGAGAACTTTGCCACTACAGATTTCATCCACCCATTGCAGTTCAGAATTGTAAACCCTGTGTTAATACAGATCTCTTTTTATGTTATCATCCTATTTTGCTGCAAATCTGCTGAGGGTCTCTATCACAATGGTGATGGTTTGGAGGCACATATCCTACCAAGGTCCAATCTGAGGCGAAATAGAAGGTGTCCATATCAGGGAACCAGAGGAGTTGGTGATAATCAATCAAACTGGTCAACAGAGGTTAATACTTCATGTTCTGTACAGTTTCATTTAAGACTTGATTCTGATGATGCTTAACCTGTCAATTTGTGTATTCACTTATTTGCATATCGTATTTAAATATAAATACAACAAATGCGTTGTAAAGCCACGCCTTAAAATGAAGTATCGGATTCTCAATTTTTAATTATCTCTGAATGAATCCAGTTAGAAAAGGACAATCGATTTGAGTGTGTTGGAAGGAGGAGGAGTGGACAGCTCACCAGAAAACTTATTTGTTTTGGTTTCCATTGATCTAGACCTGCCTCTTTCTTTATGGCCTTCTTCAATCACCAATACAGAGGGAGGAAAGATACTATATAAATTAAATCTTCCTGTAAGTGGTGGAACGTTACAGCTGATCATAGAGTTACCATAAGTCGAAATTAACGAAGAGTCCTGCCATTACGTGACATCTGTGGGATGTGTGCATGCGTGCATGTGAACTTCAGGGGTGAGGACACGTTCAAAGCTGGCCACAATGCCCTGTGTTGCCATTTGGGTAAAACCACTTTGAGTTATTGGCAAGCAGTAAAGGACCCAGTTACAGCCCTCAAAGGATGTGGGAAAGGATTAAGAGGACACCTTTACTTCTGGGCAAAATCATTTTCATTCTTTTGTCTTCCAGTTACGGCGGATGCAAGAAATGTTGCAGAAGATTAAGCAGCAAATGCATGGCCAGAGTCCTGAAGGATTGTAGTACGTGGTGCTTGCCAGTTTCTTCAGGGATTTAAGATGTTTGTAGTCTTTTGCCCTGCCAAGAGGCATGGAGACTGGTCCTAGGCACAAGGCTTTGTGGCTTGGAGCTCAGCCCATCTAAATCACTAACTTCAGAATTCAACAATCACACTTTTCACTGGAAGTAAATGCATCCATTTTATTAGTCCTACTAACTTAAAGTACTTAAAATAGGAAAACAAACCTAGAATTCATAACTGCAATAAATATTAGGTGTTGTCCATAACTTGGAATAATTTTAGTCATGATTTAAGAATCCCATTTTGCTTTGCTGAGAATAGATTGAATCTCTTTCTTATCCAGATACATAGCTGTTATCTATCTATCTATCCTGCTGGATTAAGAGTTCTTTTTCTTATTACGCTGCTGGGGTTTCCCAGTTTTGGGACACTAATAACTGCCAACAGCCAAGACATTTGTAGTCAAAATTGGCACGGATAGAAACTTACAAACTATGCCAAACATTCTGGCAACACAAGCTTCCTACTCACTACTTCCAAGTTTCAGTGTAGTCTGGAGGAGCATCACTTTGTTAAAGTTCAGGCTATCACCTTCACATTTTTTTTCAGGGTTTGTGGATTTCAGCTTTAGTGAAAGATCTGAAATACCAAGAAAACTGCAGACCAAATGAGAGTGGAACTGGCCTAAACGTGGAGATGGGAAGGGCATGGGAAATGGAGAAAAACACTGGAAAATTAGGGGAAACCATGCCAACACCAGGAAAAGCACTGGAAATCAGAGAACTGGCTGTGAATACTTGGAACTGTTGCAAAGTTATTTAGTGAAGTCAAGGGGAGCTTAAAGTTTTTATTGGAAAGATAGTCAGCATTCCAAATAAATTGTACTATAATGGTCAATTATTAATTGTTATTCAACAGGTTTTCAAATGCCTACACAATCTCCCTCATTAAAATAGGGTGGAACCAGGTCCTTCAAAAAGACAATTAAACTCAGGAGTCATTACAGTAAACTCATTACAGTCACAAATACTGTGTATTAAGGCAAATAAGCTACAAAATAAATCACGAGGGAAGGCTGACTTATGACTCAGTGGGTGCGTGCCAACATCTGGAGTGAATCTAAGTCTCACAGACCATATAAGTGCCAGATTCAATCTCTGGTCTCTATTATGTTTGCTGATCCCAGTCAGGGCAGAGTGAAGGGGCTCAGCAATTGTCCTTAATTAGGGCAAATAGATCTAGGGCAAATTAAGTCAACATTTACATACTGCATTTTTTTTAGCCTCTCTTGCTGGAAGCTGGGTGCAATAAGTGATATGTCAGGGTCAGCTGCATTGCTGCCACCCTCAATCAAATGCCCTGCCAACTCCTATCAAGATGGGTCTGGTTTAGAAAACAGCCAATGCCTATGCATTTAGACCATCGGGGAAATGAGGCAGGAAGTTGATGATGATGATGATGAAGTAAAACCTCCAAAATCAAATCTGCTGCTTCGGAGGAAATGGTTGTTTGGGACAGACAATTTCCTGGCCAAGCACTAACCAAGTTTTAGCTTCATGGGTAGTGCATTAGGTAGTGCATTTGCCAATCTAATGAAATTCATCCTCTTCAGTAACAACTTGAATAAATACTGCTGTAAAAAAAAATTGCACTGTTCCTATTTATTCCTTGTTGGGCATGACTAATGAACAACTCTCAGCTACTTAAACTTAATCGTCGACTTAGGTTTAGATAAATCATACTTCAGGCTCACTTTCATCAACTAAACTTGTACAAAAGGAAGCTGTACAATGCCAAAATGCTTCCTAATGAAAACCTCTGGTATAACATTGAAAGACCAAGCGTCAGACCCATGATTTTTTTTGTGACGTCAAACATTTAATTGACAACCTTTTACAACAGTTTAAACAATACAATCATTACAACCTTAACACTGCAGAATGTGACTCAGAGGTAGGGGTGTGCAATCCTTCATTCTCAGACACCAGAGCATTGTCTGCTTTTCTTCTACCAATGAGATTGTGACTCATTTGTCACCATACCAGTAGTTCACTGAATCTTTTACTTGTAGCACTTACTCACTTAACTACAATCACCTGGCTTTGAGATGTTTATTTCCTCTCAGCAATCACTTTAGCAGGCAAGCTGCATTCGTTCATTGGGTGGTTAAAGATACTCAAACTTTGCCTCAGTGTATAGACGAAATATTGGTGTGGTGTTGAAGTAATGTGACTGGACAGCATTGCATAGATTGAGCTTTCAGTCTTGAAATATAATTATCAGCATATCCAAGTCATGAGAACATCCGAACTGTTGTATCTTCAGACTGTCGACTGTAGGATGGTGAATACACCATCCTCCTCCACAGTTTTGTGCAAGTTTTTTGTGCATTCTGTCTTTATATTTTAATGCAAGGATTTCATTTCATGGTTCACATAATGCAAGAGTTAAAGATTGAAAGCTTAAACCCTGTCCAGTCAGCTTTCTTCATCTCCAGAGAGATGTTTCATCTACTCACAGAGGCAAAGTCACCATTCCTAGCTCAGTAAATATGTCACCGAGTGCAAGTCATACTTGGAAAGTAGAAGGACTATAGATGCTAAGTTTAAAAACAAACCAGTGTTGGAGTAGTGGTTCACAACACAGGATGATTACTGATGATGAAAACTGTTTGGCCCATTTTATCGAATCCTATCTACAAAGCTCACAACCCCACCTTGGACATCTCTTTCTCCAACTCTGCTGAAATATCCAGTGGTTCCTAGACTGATTGTACTAATTTATCCTGAAGTCTGTTCCAATTGTTAATCTTTGTTTTTACAAAAATCAATTTCTCATCCTCATCCTGATTTTGCTTTTCACTAGTTTGAACCTGACTCTTGTCCTGCATTTTAGATTTAAATTAAAGTAATATTCTAGGAACATAGGAATAAGCCATTCAGCCCATCAAACTTATCCCATCATTCAATATAATCATGTCTGATCAAACACTTCAATGACTTTTTCCAACGTTAACTCCATAACCCTTTATGCCATCGGTAATCAGAAATCTACCAATCTCTATTTAAACGCACTGAAAGACTGAGCTGTCTGTGGTTGAGAATTCCAAAGATTCACAACCCTTTAATGAAAACAATTTCAAAACATTGGCATCCTTCTTATTTTTAAATTGTGCCTTTGGTTTCAGATTCCTCAGCCATAGAATACATCTTACCTGCATCTATCTTACCTATCCCTTTAAGTATTTTGTAAATTTCAATTAGATCATGTCATTTTTCAAAACTCTGGAAAGTATGGGTGCTGTTTGTCAATCCCTCTTCACAGGACAGTCCTGCTATCCTAGGAACAGATCAGTTGAACCTTCATTGTACTCTCTCTGTGATAATAATACCTTTCCTGAGATAAAGCAGGACACAGTAGTCCAGGTACAGTTTATCTAAGCTTCTACGCAATTTAAGCAACGTTTCACTCCACCTGTACTCAAATCCCTTGTAATAAAGATTAAATTTCGATCAGTCTTCCTAACTGAAATCTGTAAATTGTGGACAACTATGGGACTTAGATCTATTTTCTCTTTTGCAGCATCTTTATTTATAAATTGGTCAGCTTGTAAACTGTAAAACAAATTTACAAAAATATTACAAACATCACTTAATCAGCTGCAACAATTCTAAGAAATTTATCTTCTTCCAAACTTAATAAGGAAACAGATACTGTGCCACTTATTTGTGGAATCTGTTCATAATGATGGAAGAGAAACAGCTGGCACTTCAGGGCTTAGAATAGAATAGAATCCCTACAGTGTGGAAACAGACCATTCGACCCTTCAAATGCACACCAACCCTCCAAATAGCATCCCACCCAAACCCATCCCCCTACCCTATCCTTATAACCCTGTATTTCTCATGGCTAACCCACCTACAGGGCAATTTAACTTGACCAATTCACCTAGCCTGCACATCTTTGGACTGTGGGAGACACAGACACTGGGAGAATGTGCAAACTCCCACAGGTAGTCGCCTGAGAGTGGAATCGCTGTGGGCCAGCAGTGCTTGTAAATATTCTGATTGCTTTTGTAAGTAAGGACTGTGGCTGTAGTGAGGTATGGGGCCACATAGAATCATTGAATCCCTACAGTGTGGAAGCAGGCCAGTTGGCCCATTGAGTTCACACTGACCCTCTGAGTAGCACTGCACCCAGACCACTCTCCTAGCCTATCCTTGTAACCCTGCATTCCTCATGCCCAAACCACCTAACCCACACATCCCTGGACACTGTGGGCAATTTAGCATAGCCTATCCACTTAACCTACACATCTGTTGACAGTGGGAGGGAACCAGAGCACGAAGAGGAAACTCATACAGATACAGGGAGAATGTGCAAACTCCACACAGACATTTGAGGCTGCAATCAAACCATGGTTCCTGGTGTTGTGAGGCAGCAGTGCTAACCACTGAGCCACTGTGCCAGCCAGCCAGAAGTTTGAGTGAAGGAGAGGATGGAGGGGTCAGCAAGTCACATTGGAAGAATTCAACTCCTGGCACCAACAGGGTCAAGCCACTGGTAAACACTATATAAGAACTTTGATATGGCAGGTGTCTGTGGTTTCATGGTGCCTTGTATATGTGTTACAATGTGAGTTACCTGGGCCTGTTGATAATCAAAGTTTGTTATTGGGAGTGTCTGTTTATCTAGGTTTCAATCTATACTCGTTTGAAGATTAAATTAACTTGCAAATAAACTTAATTAATTGAGAGGCATTGCAACAAAAAGTCAAATTTTAAAGGGTCATTCAATTTAGATTAAAATAAATGTTTTGATGCTGGATGGAGTAAAGCCAGTCAGTGGACTTTGTTTGTTCCGTCTCCAGAGCCATCATGGCATGGATGTAGTCACAGAAGAGGGGCAAGCATTTGGGTCCAAAAATTTCCCCCCCTTGGCCTGCTACCTTGACTTGATACTGGTTATTTTGGCCAAGGCCAGGAGTACATCCACGAGGAGGACCTTCAAATTTTCTCTGTAGCCAGTGGCCAAAGATAACAGGAGCATGGGACTGAATTGCAGCTCAAATTTGAGGAGACATTGCTTCAAAGAAATGAAGTAGGGTCTGCAATCTACTGCAATGTTATATGCATGGAATATGGGCTCCTCAAGGCTTCCAAAAAACTGAAAGCCTGGGAGTACACAAACCATCGTAAGCTCTGCTTGTATGGAATTGCTGTGTACAACACCCTCCATGACAAATGTTTTACTGATCGTGTGTGGCATGTGCCATCTACTCCCCAAAACCCAACTTGTCAGCTTCGCATAAATCTTCCTAAAGATGAATACTCCCCTTTGTAAAATACCCGGAATATGCTACTGCACTAAAGATGCCTTATAAATGTAAGTTTTTGTTCGCATAGGATAGTCTCCTAAGACAGACTGAAGGGAAGGAAATTTAAAAATCTGCAGCAATGGATGGAATTTACTCCAAAGAGTTATAGGGGATGGAAGGAGGTTTGTGAGGCATTGATGATTATTATGAGGGAATCACCAGATATTACTGAGGGGCCAGTATCCAAGCTAACATGGTGCTCACCTTCAGAGAGGTGACAAAGAAGATGGAATGAACTAAAGATGTTACCTCAATTCAATAGAAGATACCAGAATGAATCCATTAGGGGTAAATTTGCAGACCAATATGGATTCAAAAGAACATCTGCCTGACCAAACATTTGTGAGGAATTGTAGTTGTAAGTAGTTTGTAGAAAACTCAACAATTTGATACCTAGACTTGTAGGAGGCATTTGGCAAAGTTCCACAAAAAAGGCTTTATTTAAGCTATGTACTATAAGGATACAAGGTAATGTTGGGGAAGGATAATAATTTGGCTGAACAATAGAGGCAGAGGATATTGGTTAGATCAGAAATTCCTGTGTAAGGGAAATTAAGTGCTGACTTGTGTAGCTAAAGGCTCTGTATTGGAACTGCCGGTGTTTCTAATTTACATTAATGACTTAGTTTAGAAACTCAAGTTATATTCACAGATGATTTCAAATTAGGAAAAATTCAGAAAGAGGCAACTTGAAAAATAAAAATTGAGTTGGGGAATAATTGGCAGTGTTACTGCAGATGCCATTTAACATTCACAATTATATACTGCAGCATATAGGAAGAGGAAACTAGGCTATAATGGTATTCCTATAATGGTGTTGGAACAGCTAAGTGTGAAGTAGCAAACTAATTAGTTTTACTGAACTCAATGTTAACATGCCTAG